TGTAGACAGGAGCAGGGTACCTCTGCATCATTCGTGGAACAGGACCCTAAGTCCTGCTTAAAAGAATTGCAGAATCAGATTCCTTCACCTGACTACTGGCCTAATTAAAAAAACAAACAAACAAACAAACAAACAAACTACTGATCCAATATGAAGCTGTTTGGAGGCTGAACACAGAACTCCAGGTAGAGCTCAAGGTCTGGGACCAGCTGAGGTCTGAATCTTAAAACCTAGTGACACCCAAAGACTGAGAACCAAGCACCATTCATCTGGCCCACAACCTGTCTGCTTACAGAAAAGCAACCAAAGAGTGAAACACACACCCAACAAAGCTGAGATGAGGTATCTACACCAAGAAAATCACAAACATCCATCATAGGTCCAGATTCCTAAACCACTGCACACAAACACAACATAGACAAACAAGAAGCCAACAACCTCATTGCAGTAACCCCCAAACAATTTGGTTGAAGCCCAAGACAAGGACTTCAATCTAGCAATTATCAATGTGTTCAACGACCTTGAAGGGGGTATGAATAAACACCTTAATGAAGACTGTGAAAACACAAACAGCTGAAATAAGTATTAGAAACTGTTTGAGACATAAAAATAGAATCACTAAAGAAAACCCAATCTGAAGGAAAACTTGAAATGACAAAACTAGGAATTCAACAAAAAGCTCAGAGGTTAGCCTTACTAACAGGTTACATGACTTGGAAAAGAGATATTCACATCTTGAAAACAAGAGAGATGATATGGATAGCTCATCAAAAATATATTAAATTAAATATATATTAAATATATTTATATTAAAATATCCACGCATAAAATTTCCAGGAAAATTGGGACACATGAAAAGAATATGAATAATAGGTACAGAGGAATGAAAATAAACACGGTCAAAGGCACATAAATTGTTTTTAACAAAATAATAGAATGAAATAGCCTCTTGCTTAGGAGTGAGACCCTACGTCTGCTCTCACCTCCCGGTGCTGGGACCTGTCTGGCTTTACCCTGTGCAGATCTTTTGTACGCTGTCATAATTTGTGTTAGTTCATATGTACACCATTTCCTGCTGTGTCTGGAAGACACTGTTTCCTTGGAGGGATGCTTCACCTCTGACTCTTACAATCTTCACACCTCCTCTTCCACACAGGTCTCTGGCTCTTGAGGGGAAGGTTTAATGGAGACACTTAGAGCTGAATATTCCAATGTATCTCTTCACATTGTCCATATTTGTGTCTCTGTGTTAATTCCCACCAACTTCAAGAAGAAGCCTCTCTGATGTGGGTTGAAAAAGGCAGTATGCCATTGGGAGTCATTGTATTGCGATATTCTTTTAGCAGAATATAAAGGGTTTCCTTACACTCATTGTCTCAGGTTCTTGCCAACTTTAGCAGTGTCGAGTATTTAGGTTCCATCTCATAGGGCAGATTTTAGATTCAATCAAAAACTGATTTTTTTTTAGCCCTAAAATATTTGTATATAGTTTTAATGCCAATAAATACAAACAGCAATGAGATATTCATATTTCAGCAACAGCATTTCCAGAGGTACTGCCCGCTGGGAGCATGACACTGAAAACTACACCCAGAAGAAGACTTGGATTCACTTTTACCCAGGAGTCATGACACTGGGAACTGGTTGGCTTTTCTTGATAACACCTCTCATACATCTTTTCCCATACCCTACTGTGCTATCTTATGCCATAGATCCCCACAAGAGAGGAGCTGTGAGAATCTGATGACATTTAAATGGGTTTTATCTTTGCTTTATTTTATATGTTTAGGTTTATTATTTTTGTTATAACCCATTCTTTTAAAATTTTACATATGTATACAATGAACTATAATAAAACCTCTTATTTTCCCCTCCAGATCCTCTCTCAGAAGAACCCCTTTTGACTTCATGTCCTCTTTATGCTTTAATAGACCACTAAGTCCAATTAGTTCTGTCAATATGATCATGGGTATGGTGCAATCCACAGGAGTCTGGGTAATCTACCAGTGGCCAAATTTGCAAAGAACAATGACTTTTTTCCCATAGAAGCTATCAAAAATTTTAAATTGACAAGAAAATAAGATACATTGCCATCTTTTTTTTTTTAATTTTCCAGATTTCTAATCTAATCAATTAGGAATGGAGTCTCATGAGTTCCTTTGCCACCCTTGTTGGACTCTTGGCAGTCTCGATCTTGTCAAGTCTTGAACAGAAAAACCATAGCTACTGTGATTATAGATACCATGGCCATAACAAGCCCAAAGTTATCAGGAAAGCAGTGGCACTTGAGACAGCGCTCTGTGCACTGCACTTGATTTATCCTAAGGGTATGCTGACTTCTTACTGCTGAAAACAATACAGACTTTGCATGCAGTACATATAGGAAATGATCTGAAACTGAGAATCTTTCTCTCTGTGAGCTAGTGTTCGGTTTCAGAGGTGCTGTGAAGGCTGTTTGGAGACAAAAGACATCAATGGTCTTACCAAGAGCTGAAAATTACACACTACGGTACTGAATTGTGAGGTAAAATGTGTCTATTAGCACAATAGTGGCATGACTATTATGGTGTAACCAACTGATTTCTGATTGGCATGATAAACTTCTTTTCCAAGAAGAAGCAACTAATAAAGACATTCAAAATTAGTCCAAGTATTTTTAAGTATTTATGATTGCTTATCCCCAAGTGGGACATTGCTAAGGCTTGGGAAACTTCTAGAAAGAGGACACTAAAAACACGCAAGGAACAGAAAATAGATATGTGTGTTGTTTGCTCTCTTGGTAGATATTTTGACTGGAATGATATGAAATAATTATGATTTTATTTCCATTTCTCTGGTAGCTAAAGATGTTGAACATTAGTTTTCCTGAGTCAATATTTTACTGCAGGGCTCAAAAGGAGCTTTGACAAGGATTATTCTCACAAGGATAGTAGATAAAGAAAAACATGCTGATATATTCAGCTTGTCCTTTATCTAGAGTCCTTCCTTAGACATCAGCTAATCGCCTGCATTCATCTCCTTCTGCATAGATTTCTGGCAGTGGTAATGACTAGGGGTTCCTTTGATCCATGATACAAGGAATAATTATTCACACTCCTGTAGAACCCTGCCAGAAGAAACACCTCTTCTTTATTTGGCATCTGAACCTCTTCAGCTCCAAAAATAATCCCAGAACAATTGGTGTTGTCTTGAAATTTTTCCTTCTGGTTTTGTGGATAAAGCCTCTGTTTCTGATTAAGGTAATACATGGGGCTCCACATCTCGAGAAACAGTAACAAATGCTCACTTCTTTGTCTCTCCTAAGGACAGTTATGAGTGGTCTCGCCCTGCTCTGGACTCTACATGCTATAGTACAGATTTTCTAGGCAAGGCATAACCACTGGCATGATTGATTGTGACAAGTGTTTATGAGGGCAGCCAATCGCCTCTTGGGGTCCTCGGGAGACTCACGGATTTGTGCAGCTCCCAGCTTTAAGCCGTCTTCCTAGTGTGGAGGGTAATAACCAGAACCTGGAAACAACCCAGATGTCCATCAACGGAGGAATGGGTACAGAAATTGTGGTATTTTTACACAATGGAATACTACTCAGCAATCAAAAAGGAGGAAATCATGAAATTTGCAGGCAAGTGGTGGGATCTAGAAAAGATCATTCTGAGTGAAGTATCCCAGAAGGAGAAAGACAAACTTGGTATATACTCGCTTATATAGACCTACAAGACATGATAAACAAAATGAAATCTACACACCTAAAGAAGATAATCAAGAAAGTGGACACAGGCGAAGGTGATTAATCCTCATTTAGAAAGACAAATGGGATGTGCATTGAACTTATGACAGGAGTCTACCACAAAAGGCATCTGAAAGACTCTACCTAGCAGTGTTTCAAAGCAGACACTAAGACTCATAACCAAACCCTCGGCAGAGTGCAGGGAATCATATGAAAGAAGGGAAGTTAGTATGATATGGAAAGGATAGGAGCTCTACAAGGACCAAATATATCTGGGCACAGGGTCTTTTCTGAGACTGACACTCAACCAAGGACCATCTATGGATATAACCTAGAACTTCTGCTCGGATGTGGCCCGTGGTAGCTCAGTAACCAAGTAGTTTTCCAAAGTAAGGGGAACACAGACTATTTCTAACAGGATCTCAAGGGCAGGCTGTTTGAC